TGTTGGGAGGGTATTTTGTTGTCTATGATCTGAGATCAATCCAAAAGATGTAAAAAACCAAACAGTTTTTGTTTTCAGTAAGGTATATGCTAATGATGCAAATAAAATATGCGTGTTTTAAGTGAACTTAAAAATTTGAAAGCATAACCCGCAATCATCTCAGATGTCAGAAAATCTGTGGTCCGAGTCCCCACCGACTTGCATTGATGCTATGATTTAAGATGATGGACTTTTAATTTTACTAGTAATACAGACTTTTGTATTTACCAGGAATACAAAAACTACTGTTTTGAAAATGAAGGTCGAAGACTTTTTGTAAATTTCATAAAAGATGTGATTCAATAAAAGACGTAAACAGAACAGCAATGATCTCAGATCTGCCTTTTGATAATTCATTAAAGTGATCTATATGTTGATCATGTAAGCAATATATATTGAAGATTTAATCATTTGAAATGATATGAAACACATAAAAAAGAGGAGAGGGGAGATTAATATATATTAAAGCAGAGAAAAAAGGGTTATTTATTAACTATGGCAATGATGTGTTAAATTCACTTGCATAAATTGAAGATTCAGTATTAGTGTATGTTCGTAGAATTCAAACATAGATCAAATGTGTGAAAAATAGTAGTATTAGAAATATACACAAGAATAATAAATGAATTACTGACACCTACTTTAAGTGCCATAATCAGATATGAAAATTAGTTGATGATTACCGAATTTGCAACTCTGCCTTCTCTAAGAGGAATCAAGTCATCCTGCCTTTCTTTTCATCGGTTTCTACAATCAGTGTGTGAGAACTGTCAGATCCCTGAATCCCCAAAGGTCTAACTTCCTTCCTTCAAGGATTATGGACCAGTTTTCCACCAATTGGTAAAGGACAAGACAGCAACACTAACCCTGGTTCATCTGATGCTCCAGCTAACTTTAGAGAGAGAAAGGAAACGCCAGGCAAGGAAGTGCAAACACACACATTATTGTGGGGAATTGAAAGAGCAGGGTATGAATCTCCAGAGATGATCTGGATCAGTGCAGAGAGGTAAGGTGGGGCAGGGTATGACCACTGGCAGCCATTGCTGGAGGCAAAGAATTTTAAATGGAGTTCAAAGATGAGCTAGTGCAGGTGTGGAAGAGGGAAGGGTGCCCCCTGTACTGTGGGAAAAGACGGGAGGCTGTCAAGAAAACACATACATCCTAGTGTGACAGAAGCACATAAATTGAGTAGAGAGAAATTTGAGTTCAGAGGGAAGGAGGAGTCAGAGTTGTGACTGATTATGCAGAGTGTGGTAGGTGTGAAGAGTAGTCCTTGGGTGTGGAGAGTGAGGGCGGAGTCAGAGTTGTTCAGAAGGATCAGGGGGTGACAGAGACTAAGTCCTCTGAGTCTTCCCCTTCAGGACTCAATGTGGCTTAAGGAGGTTTGTTAGGCCACACAGCAGGCATCCAGGAGGAAGACCAGTGTGGGGGGCAGGGATGCATTTTGTTTTGTACCCATGGGCCTGGGGTTCTTGTGAGACGTTAATAGAAAGCTGGATATCATTATCTGGAGCTCTGAAAGGATATCTGAGCGGGCCTAGATAGCTTCATGGATTAGTGGAATCTAGTCATAGAAACCAACGAAGGAGATGCAGACGCCAGGAGAAAGCCCAGCATGAAATTGTGACTGACTTTAGAAAAGCTAGAGACACCGGGCTACATAAAGTATATGTTTATACTTATGTACAAGTGTGTGTATGGGTGGGTAGAAGGTATTTAAATGATACATGTTTATATAATCTGTTTCTATATTCTTTAGAAGGCTTTAAAATGAGACCAAATCCAACAGAGCACGGCAATTGGATAAGCAAGACGTCAGAGTTAATTGCCACACACCTTACTAAAAACCCTTGGTGGCACAGGGAGTTAAATATAGGTCAGGGCGAACAACTGGGTTTTCTACTTCGAGTACAGTCTTGGACACTCACAGAGGCTGTTCCCCCCTGTCCTATAGGGCTGCGATGAGTCGGCATCAACCCCATGGAAGTGAGTGCTTTTTAATGACAAGGCCAAGGAGTCTTGGTGGGGTAATGGCGTTTACGTTGGGCTGCTGACTGAAATGTCAGTGGTTTAAGTCCACCATCCACTCCACGGGAGTTAAGATGAGCCTCTCTGCTCCTGTAAAGATTTACAGCGTCTGAAACCCCCAGTGACCATTCCCTGTCCCGCAGGGTTGCTATGATTCATACCTGACTAGATGTCAGTCAGTGAGGTAAAGTTGAGTCTATATTGGAATAAAGAATAATTTGAGTTCAGGATGGAATGGGGGCAAAGTAAGTAAAAAGAGTAAAAAGAGGATCATGACATTGGACGGCCTACTCAAGGACAATGGAAGAAAGAAAGAATGGGAGTTTGTGTTTGTGTCGACACCCTTATTAAACAGCCAGGGCTCCTCATAACTCCCAGCAAGCGTGACATAAGCCATTTCACAAATCAGCCATGGGGATTCAGTCTCATGGCAATCCCAGTACATCCCAGGAATGCTGTGCCCCCTGGAATGCATAGGTAGGTGCCAGTCATCAGGTCTTTCTTCGAAGGTACCCTGGGTGTATTAAAAGCGCCAACTTTGTGGTTAGCAGCCTATTGCCCTAACCATCTGCACCACCCAGGGACTCCTGGGCAATGAATGAATGGCAAGTGCTGGTGAAAAACCGGCCACCACACAATTTCCCTAGCACTTATTGACATAGTGGGATAGGAGGGGGGTGGGGGGGTTGAGGGAATCCTGTTACCAAATTAAAATGATATCTGTTAGTAAAATGTTTTACTGAACACTCTTCTTTTTGACCAATATGCCAAAAGATGTTCAATCCATGTGCCAGTAGGCAAAAAGAAGGTTCATTATGTTTATATACATTAGACCTTTGGAAATACATTTTAAAAATTGGTAAAACGGGTGAATAAATGAAGTAAATAATGTTTTATATTACAAAATTTAAAGGAAAGTGGCAAATAATCTTATGATTACTTATATCTGTCTTTAAAATAATAATCCACATGATTTCGCTAGAAAAAAGTCCCCTAATCATAAAGTTGCTTGGTTGAATGTGCTCTGTTACCCTTCTGATAGCCTGATTGACAGTGACAGGACAGTGGTCTTCAGAATCAGCAAAGCACAGCAGTAGAAATCGAAGGTTGCCAAAGCTTCAAACCCCCACAGGATGATTTTCTCCATACTCTCCGTTTACACCAACCAAGAAATAGATTGTCTGGAATAGTTCTGAGCTTCACTGAATCCATCTTTCTGCTTCTATATCCAGGATAAGTGAATTCGGAGCATTCTGACTGCCTTGGGGTGCATGTGAATATTGGATAATTTCTGTATCACACTTTCACTCGCTACCACGGAGTTGATTCCAACTCACCACAATGCTATGGGAGAGGGCAGAACTGTACCTGTGGATATCTGAGACTGTGACTCTTTCCAGAGATAGCAGCATCTTTCTCGCACAGCGCAGCAGGTTTTGAAACGTAGACCTTGATGTTAGCAGCACAACACACAAACACTATGCCACAGGGCTCCTAATACCATACCTACCCAGGGTTATTGAGCTTTCTGAGACCACTCATTAAATCTCCAAATGAGAAACCTTGGTATATGCAACCCTGAGCTGTGAGTTGTAATAGTGTTGTAAAGGCCATTGTCCCGTGGCCAGTCATGGCTTTATTAGCCATGTGTTTGCATGTGTAACATGTAATCTTTATAAAAAAGACACAGGATTTTTATCATCTTAACAGGATACATTGTGCCTTTAAAATGAGGTCTTAACTACTACTAAACCAGTGCTAATCCCAGGAGATGGGTCAGGAAATATTTCAAACTTTATATAAATATATAAAAATGATTCAAGCCTTGTGCTTTTTCTTAAAAAATGGGGATTACTATGCACTCTGGTAAAATAAATGTGGGACCCCAAAATATAATGTCTGAATGCCAGAAGGTTTCTTTCAGTTTCTGGTTGTTACTTAGCACACATGGAATAGTGTGCATGTGTACAGTAATATCACGCATGCAATACTGTACAAAAGCAGACTTTCTTTACACTGAATGAAGACGAACTCTTCTGGAACCGACAGAGTAAAACAAATAATGTCAAACAGTCTCCTAAAATTGACTGAAAATAAAATGCAAAATAAAAGCACTTGAGAGAATTATAACTGGCAATCATTTTTGGTTTTCTTTGGTAACAAGTACCTTCATCAAAAATAGAACACGCGTGCTCTTTCCATGTTCAGTCTGCAGTTAGACTGAGTCATTAGATTGTTTATTGTCTAGGATAGCCGTTAGACCATAAACGCTACCTACAGATTTTATTCTTTCTTAATAGTGTAGTCTCTGCAGTATACAGATTTAGCTCTTCGTAGTGTTTCATAATACTCCCTTTAGTATTCTACATATGATTTTGCTCAGCAGATTTGTGTTATTAAAATGTACATAATGGCATATGAACATTTGGAAAACCCACATAGGGACTAAACAATCTTATTTATTGTAACTATTCAACTAGTCTACTTGGCATACACCTTACCATAATTGTCACATGCACACATGCACGCACGCACACAAATGAGTCATACATTTTTAATTTTTCAGAACTACCTATTTGATTAGACCATGGTCTGATGTATACAATATAGAATTTATAAACTCTTCCTGCTTAGATTGCATTTCAGGCATCCAATAAAACACATTTACTGTGTCCAAGACTAAATCATAGATTGTTTAAAATTAATTATTCCTTTTTAATTGCATTGTATAAACAGAAATGACCTGTTAATTTAAAGAAAATCTATCAGCACAAAATGAATTCACTCATATAAACAAGCAAGATGAACTTGACCTTGTTTGAACTTGTTTTGATGTGGCCCAGATGGTAGGCTACATGCTTGAATAGCAGGCTAAAGCCGAGGAAAAACTCATATAGCGAGATCTAGATTTATTGCCTTTTGCAAATTCCTACCTTGTATTGTCCTTTCAGCATCTGTTCTGCTGCCACTGCGGTCAGCGTCTATCTCTGGGGTCAGAGAGTCTAAAAGCACAGAAATGTAAGAGTGACACATATGTCATTCAATTCCTATTGTCCTTTTCAAAAAGAGCAACCTGTTACTTCAGTGCTGAATTAAAATAAAATAAATCTCTGTCATCCTTTAAAGGTTGAACAAAGACTATAACCATAAGCATTTTAGAAAGATTTTTGAGCAACATCAGATTGTTCTTCATGTGGAAGGGGGCAGTGGGGTGGGTTTCAGAGCTCGAAGAGTAATCTTGGACCAGGTTGGGGTGGAGACACAGAGGCCTAAGCAGAGAAGCAATGCAGGCTCCCATAACAGGGGTGAAGTAACAAACCGGGGAGGGACCTGTGACAGAAGTCTTCCCTCCCCACGGCTCATCGTCCTCCCGACACGCTTTCCGCTACCAGCTTGCGTCAATGAAATCATGAGAAATGGAAACATAAAACCACAAACACGTGTCTAAATTGTCCTTTGAGTATTACAAACGAAAGCTACTTGGCCATGCATCCAGACCCCCCCCTCTCACCGTTTAAGACCCTGAGACTCTCCGTGGAGGCGGCCTGCTTGAGCGTTTGCTCGGCTTGTTCACGCCGTTTGGTCTCGAATTCAAGTGCTTCCTGCAGTTTTCGCTTTGCCTTCTTCTCCTTCTTTAGCCTCTTCTGAACGATGGCTGGAAAAGAGCACACGCACAGTGTGACAGTGCTGTTTACATGGTTTCCATGCAGCTACTTTACAAATGATCTCTGCTTTGTGCAATATTTCTCCTTTCCCAAACAGGACTGAGTTTACCTCTACAAAGGAAGCTAAAACATAAAAAGTATTTTTTTCTAAAATAAATTTTAGTCCAATGTCCAACCCAGCAAATTTTTATTTTAGCGTTAAAATATACAAGAACTACTTAAGGTGTCATCTGTAGAATGATGCATTGAATGGGAGACATGTTTAGCAAATGCACATAGTCACTAATAGAGGAAACCCGATTGAACGAATGATGTGACTTAATTCTTCATTCTTGGATCCTGAAACTGGCCACTGCACACCTCTGGAAGCAGGCGTGTCCCCTTCACGAGGCACTTATTCTGAGGAAGGAATGGGGCACTTCTCGTGACAAACACTTTTGCTGGGAAAAAAGATCAGTAAGGTGTTTGATAATCATTAAAAGTAGAAAGGCAATAAACATTATTGTTTATGATGAGTGAAAACACTACAAATGATGCTTAATGCTTGCAGAGAGAATGCTTTTGCTGGATGCGACTATTGAAATTCTTGTAGAGATGATAACGATTTCTTCATTCCAAGTTAATATGCATCATAACAAATTTATTAAAATTATTATACTTCTACTTCAAGGGTAAAAACTTATTACTTATGAGCATTTCCAATAGTACCTATTGCTCATAATAACTGACATCATTTACAAAAACTATATAAATATAACACATGTATAATTTATGTAAGTAGTATATAATATAAAAATTATATTCATGCTCTCCTACCTAACAATTTATATAATTTTGTATATGCATTACATCATAGATTATCATATAAAATAGGTGATATATAATAGATCATAAAAATATTTGTTAATGTACTTTCAGTATACTTTCGTATAGGAAGTGTGGTTTTATTGTTAGCTGCCGTCCAGTTGGCTGCAGCTCATGGTGAGTCCATGTACAGTGGAACTAAGCACTGCCAGATGCCGTGCCGTCATCACCGTGGTTCCTAAGTTTGAGCCTCTTGTTGCCGCCCGCCCGTGTGTCCATTCCTCTCATTGAGCGTCTTCCTCTTTTCCTTGCGACCCTCTACTTCTCCATTCCTTCTCTGGGACTGGACTCTCCCCACTGTCGTAACTTGTCCACATAAGGGAGATCATGTGCCTCTATCTTCTACTTCTAAGGAGAATGCTAGCTGTTTTTTTCCAAGATAGATTTGTTCATTCTTCTGGTGTGTCATGCTAGATTCAATATTCCTCACCAATATAATTCATAGACGTCGACTACCTTTTACTCTTCCTTATTCATTGTCCAGCTCTCTCATGCACAACAACAGGACTCCATAGTCACTGGCACTGAGGCGATTCCCACGAACATAGGAAGTGCTTAGGAGACCCTGGCTTGGTTCAGTCTCATCTTACTTCTCAAAGCAACAGCTTTTCTCTTAAACACATTAAAGGCGTCTTTTAAAGCAGATTTTCCCAGTCATATTTCCTTTGACTTCTTGACTGCTGTTTCCTTAGACAATGAATATAAATCAAAGTAAAATGGAATTCTTGACAAATTCAATCTGGTTTCTGTTTACCAGGATGTTGCTTTTGTTTAGAAATTTCATATTCTAATCAACAGTAATTACTAATGCATCTTAATTTTCGTTTAATCAATTCAATATGCAGATGATGGTAACAAGTATTCAATATCTTCGTCTTCAGCACTAGTGGTTGATATATAAATTTGAGTATAGGTAATAATAACTGGTTCTTCTTGGAAGTATATGGAAATGGTCTTTTTGATGACGAATGTGAGGCTGGTCCTTTTCCATTTTTCATTCAAAGTATAGTGAGCCATAGGTTTGCTCGATTTCAAAATGGCCAAGTGACAGTTTATAGTGGTTCACTAATGTCTGGGACAGCGGTTCTCAACCTGTGGGTCATGACCCCTTTGGGGGGGGTCGAACAACCCTTTCACAGGGGTCGCCTGATTTATAACAGTAGCAAAATTACAGTGATGAAGTAGCAACGAAAATAATGTTATGGTTGGGGGTCACACAACATGAGGAACCGTATGAAAGGATGGCGGCATTAGAAGGTTAAGAACCACTGCTCTAGGATATGGATCTTTATGTGTTCCATTTTACTTTTTGATGACTTCCAATTTTCCTAGACTCGGATTTTGTACCTTCCCTGTTCCAATTTTTATTGGATGTTTGCAACAGTTTCTTCTCATTTTGACCATGTCATATCAGCAAATGGAGGTCCTGAAGACTTTCTCTTTAAGGTCAGCTCTACTTTGGAAAGGTGGCTCTTCTCCAATATTATTTTGGGTGCCTTCCAACCCGAGAGAGGCTCCGTGCCTTAGCGGGCTATGTGTTGGACTACTCACCATGAGGTCTGCTGTTGGAATCCCTCAGCAACAATGTAGGAGAAAAATGAGGCTTTCTAGCCCTGCGAAGGTTCATTGGCTCAGAACATGCACACGGGGCAGTTTTAGCCTCTCCTACAGGGTCACTATAGGCCCAAATCATGAGTTTTAAAACCCGAGTAGTTTAATTTTGGGTACTATATGGGAAGTATACACATGCTTTTCTTGTACATTTGAAAAAAATCCCAAGTTACATATATTATGGATGTTAATATACTGAAATAGAAATGAATAATCATCCTGGTGGAAATAATTATTTAATATAATTCTCTAAAGTTCACTATTTGATTTTTTTAACTACAGGGTAAATAACAATATCACTTTTACTTAACACAACATTTAGCCAAGATATGTAAGGTAATTATGACTCTCTAAGTAAGCATTTTAGAATCAAATTTAAATTCCAAAAATATATTGTCTTAAAAATGATCAATATTGCTAAGATAAGGAAACCATTACTTATGGTATGTATTATTGTTTTCATATATTAATAATTAAGATATACATTTGCCTATCGTTTGATCAGTCATGTAATGTAAATTGACTTCAATAAATTATATTTCCTTTACTTAGTAGCACTGTGAAATCCTTCCCTCTGTAGAGGGTGGAGAACATCTGATCTGGCCTGTGGGTCTCACCATGCTCAAGAACTTATCAACACCAGCTAACATCACACGCCTCACCGAGAGAAGCCGTTCCAGCCATCACCTTAAGGGTGTGTTAATTAAATGTTTGACCAAATACAGCTGGCTAATTTTTAAGATGATGATTTTGTGCGGCCCAAAATTTTGTATAACATCCACATTTGGCTGTTATAAACAGCAAAATGGCTCTTGGCAGATAAAAAGGTTCCCCACCCCTGGTCTGTGTTCACAACATTACTTCCCTACCATTTTCCCTTCCAAGTTGACTGTGTGTACATCTCTTGCAAAAGAAGCAGTAGTTTCTGAATTATTCATTTGGATCGTACTCTCAGGACACTAAAACTCAATAGCCAGCGCCTTGCCACCAGGCATCCCCACCCACCCACCCTTTTCCTCCTGAGGGACTGAACCTCAGGAATGCAGTGTCCTCTCCTCAGAGGGAGACAACTGCTTTCCCGGGCACGTTCATAACCAATCATTCCGGGTACTTCTTACCTTTGATTCATTGCTCACGATTAGTGAAATGGGAAGTCTGGTGCGATTTGTGAGTTTTTTGCCCTCTAGTGGATAAAGGGATAAAGCAAGACGTGGATCCTGTTAAACGTTTAAACCAATAAAACTCGGAAAATCTCCTGAGTATGCCGAAAGGTTACTTTTAATTTTGGCACCCGCCTTAAACTTGGTTTTAAAAAAAAAATCGACTTCTTGATGTGAAATAGAAATCAAGACATGCTATCCCATATATGATGGTTCCATAGATTAAACTCTTTGGCGAAACTTTATTGACATGACATGTATACCAGTAAGTCTGAATTTAAAGTAATATTGAAAGTACTGTTTTGATTGGTTTAGTACCATTACTTTGGGAAGATATAGTAGTTAGACCTGTGCTATCACACTGGGAGAGAACTTCCAAAGCCACCTCATCCCAGAGACTCTTCTGCTTCCTCACAATAACTCATGAAGCAATCCGGTTGTTCATGTCCATTTTAAAAGCAAAAGAGAAACAGTTATTTTTAAAAGGCATGCCAAATACATAGCAGCAGAATATGTGAAACATTTATATTGGAGACTTGGTAAATTGGTTAAGTAAAGGAAATTCCCATTGAGAACACTCAGGAGCTCTTTATTGTTGAAACAAAGAGATATTTACAGAGAAAACACTCTAATTTCATACTGACACATGCAAATATGGATGACATTAAAATGATCTTTAATACACTTCATAGTGTGTTTCAGAGAAATAAGTCATAGATGGGCAGTATCATAAATTATACCTAATAATAGTTCAGACCAATTTCTGCTCTGAATAGGTACTTGACCTTGCTGGAAGAAAATGAGGAATCCAGAAAGAGAAGTCAACAAACACTTAACTTTTGTCATTGGTTGAGACAGTCATCAATCTTCAATTCCAACTGATAAGTATCTTACGAAATCTGCTTCACTGGAAGAATCAGTGTTTTTCCCTTTCGCTTTATGACTTCACTTCTTTAAGTTTTTCAAACGGCAATTGTGAATGAACAAACAGTGATTCTTCAGGCCTTTAATTTTATCAAAGCGCATTCTTATCTTAAAATATGTTAATTTGTTAAACTGTAGAGAGGATCAGAATTATATGATCAATGATATGATGGGTAGAGGAAGAGAGACTGTGTGTTTGGAAATTAAGATAAAAGGCTAAAAATACAATGAACCTAGGAATCATATCCTATTTTGAACTTTGGTTCCATGTACATTTACAAATGTGCCACAGTCAAAAAGTAAATCCCCAATAAGAAATTAGTATGTGGACACTTTGCAGAAGTATTCACGGCTTTCTGAAAATTAGAAATACCTCTATTCTTTTGTTCCATAGCCAACTGCTTCTCAAGTGTCTCCCTCAGTTCTCGTTCTCTTAAAAAATCCATCTTCAGCTCCGTTTTTTCCAGCTGCACCTGTTTTTCTTGAGCTCTGGCATTATCTATGGCAACTTTCAAGAGTCCCTGTATAAAGAAAGTGTTCACTATGGTCAGTGTATTCCTTTTGTAGAAGCATTCTAAAAGAGAAATCCACTCATGAGAGGGTTGAACCCACCTTGAGCATTCACCCTGAACCCTGTGCCCACTGGGGCAAACCTGGAAATCTAAGCAAACGGTTTTACAAAGACAAATATTTAGGCCATGCAAGTCCAATTGCTTTTCATCAGATAAGTCGCTATCTAAAACAAACAGCACCTAAACGTTTGTGAAAAAATTAGAGAAAAGAAATGGGTTGAAGCTCTTTCCAGAAGTAATTGTTGGCGTGAATTGTGTACTTCCATGTGATCCTGAAAATACCCACCTGCCTCTATGACCTCACACCCCGCCATTGGCTACTGAGATTGCAGGAGGCACTACATTGTTCCGTTGGCTTCTCGATGGACCAATCTGTGTCTGCCCCGTGACTTCACTCTTGCGGTTGTTCTCCTGAATGACCGATCTTGACATGACTCACACACCCATTTCATTTCATAAATTGCTCAGTGTCAAGACCCAGGAAAAGCATCCATTACCATCTAATCTGGAAGGACCCTCCACACTTCTAACTTATAAGAATTCCTTAAAATTCCTCATAGAATCTTTCCTTATGTAGCAGTGTCATGTACTTATCTGTCTACTGCTTGATGCCAGATCTGACTAAATCAGGCATGGGGAATGTCAGGTCTGTGGGTTCTGTAAGGCCCACAAAATCACAAAATCATCAAAACCAGCTAAAACCACACACCTGGCCAAAGAGAGGCAGTGCCAACCATCACATTAAGGGTGAGTGAATTAAATGTTTGACCAAATATAGCAGGCTTTAAATTCATAATTTTGTATGGCCCACGATGGATGCTATAAATATCCAAATGCCTATGGGTAGAAAAATGTTTCCCCACCCCTACGCTGAACCACAAGCTCCAAGTAGCTTTACTTCAGGGATGATTCATCTCCAGAACTCAGATGGCCTAGCACAGAGCTTAAAAATAAATAAACAAACAAACAAACAAATAAAGTAATGGTTAGCTAAATGAAACCACTTCCATATTTTCCTTCAGGCATGTATTTCATATATTCAATTTCTTAATAGTGCATTATTTAATATGAATAATTTTCATAATATTTGTAAAAAGTAGAGAAAAACTTTCAGGTGATTGTTTGGAAGCACGAGTCATAGGTAAGTACTATGGCAGGGCAGGGAGAAAGATGTAGTTATTTCCATGATCAATCCTGGGCATTTGTAGAAGAACAATCGAATTCCTATGTGATTGGAGATTAAATATTGGACAGCTGTATCAATAGATTGAAGCTCTAAAGGCATACTGGTTAAGTGCTGGGTTGCAATTTGCAAGGTTGGCAGTTCAAAACCACCAGCTGTTCCATGGGAGACAGACAGGGCTTTCTACTCTTGTAAGGAGTTTGTCTCCACTACTCACAGGGACAGCTCTAGGTCACTAAGAGTCAACATTGACTTGATTCCAGCGAGGTTGGTTTTTGTACACATAAATTATATAAAGATATATAAATATATAAAGATGACATATCTAGTAGTATTTTAGAACTGTTTAGAAAGAAGATGATAAAAATACATTAAGCTTACAGAAACCATTAAGTTTTTCTCAGAAGTTGTTTTGATCAAAGTTACCAGAGCTCAAAATTATGTTCTTACCTGGTCAACAATACAAAACATTATTTGGAAGCAGGAGATAGATTTTCTTTGCTCTTTGAAAATTGAGGACTAAAACGTGTCCTTTGAATTTATGTGAGATGTTTATAAACTTTGGGATGAGATCTCATGTACCAAGGCACAGGAACAGTTTTTATTAGAAATTTTAACTTCAGTTTGACTTGCAAACCCACTAGAGCGGTGGGTTTATTTTAGCTCACCTGCATAGTTTATAGTGTTGTTGTAAGCCATTTCTAATCTCGTTTCAAGCACATATAAATTACCTCATATCTGTTTGACCTGCCTTTGGACCTTTCTGTGCGATAATTCGTATGCTAGGAAACAAGGCTTTCCATGTGGCCATTTGCCCCTCCCTGGTTTTTCCTTGTTTAACAGTAAAACATGGCTGCGGAGGAAACTGCCATCTTAACTGAATTCAGCAACAGTCCTGGGCATGTTTCTTCTTCATCAGGAACAAACAATTAGTAACAAATGAAAGAGATCATTACATCAAGTGCCCTTTCAGATCACCCCAATTAAAACTTTAGTTTAGCCGTATTTTAATTCTTAGATACCAAATTCTCATTTTCTGCCCTGATTGCTCTTGTTGACTTATCTTTGAAAGATGTTCTCTCTGTGCAATGTCTAGAGATTATTTAGCAAGATGCCAATGTTGGCACCACTTAATGTGTTGATTGGTTGTATTATCAGTAGCTGTTTAAAATAAATTACTATTAAACTATTATTGTCCCTGGCTAACAAAACACAATATTTTGGTCTTTAAATATGAAACAATCATTATGAATAAACATGGTGAATAATGTTAAACTGCAACTCTGATTTGTGTAATGGTATATTAATATCTCTTGTAAAGTATGAAGTTGCTGAGAGCTTTTATGTTTACTGTTTCCTTTTGTTACCGTTGCTGCTAATGCCACTAATGGTAATACATTACCTATTCCTGCTGATTATGTCTGAAAATTATTAGCTTTTAGGATCCAAGATCCTCTGGGGACTACTTAAATGCTATATAAAATTAAGTTTCCTTTTAAGACTTTAAATCAGTGCACATCAGTAGGAGTCCAATGTGAACAAAATTCTGCACTGGAGACAAACTGATGCGTATGCAAAAGTATATTATGCCCAGTGACAGCTCTGTTGTAAAAAAATATATATATGGAAAAAGGATTAAATGTCAATGCAGCAGGAGGCTGGGCAAAGCAGTATCGAGTAGGGGTCACAACACCTACAAATCATTAGGACATGAGCTTAAGCACAAGCGATAGTAGTATTTTCTGATTTGCGTGACTTTTGTACATTTCCTACGTAAAATATGTGTAGAATGTCATGCTAAATGCCAGGTCTTAGGTGGATGTGCAATGTCCAGCTTTGTGCTGAAATGACCATGTGACTGACAGTGCGAGATGGAAGACTTTAAAAAATTAGTTCCTTTCTCTTCCAAGGGGAGGTCTGTTTTCATGATGTCTAGTTGGATAATGACAATTCACCAGAAATACATTGTCTATTTATTTTAAACTTAACCGCATGGCACACAACCATCATAAGAGACAATGGTTGATTGGCCTCAAATTTCTTTTCCTTAAGTGAGGAGGCATAATGATTGTCATAATATATAAATGTCTTTGTTTTCTAAAATGATTTATGCTGTAAATTAAATTATCATCATCATTTTTCAAAGGAAAAATGACTATGAATTACAAAAAAAAACCCACTTGAATCGATTTCATAATGTTTCTACACTGTCTATTTCTTAGAGCGTGTATATGTTTGTATACATAAGAGGACTTGAAACTTTTGTTAATAGGCTAGTGAGATTTAGAGAGTTGTCTTAGAAATCAGATGAGAAGCAAGTCTTTGTGTGCCAAACCTCCATTACAAAATTTATGCTCAAGAACTATTACTCTAGTAAGAGTGGAATCATCCTAGATGAAGGGGGTTTGGGGATCGCCTCCTCGAACCAAAATCTTATACAGTTAAGAAAACCAAAGTCCAGTAAGATCTCAGTGGCTTGCCCAGTAACCCAAACTAGAGTTGACTAAGCCTGGGTTCGGACTCCCCAGCGCTGTACTTTCTTGTTGTACTCACCCCCTGGTCATTTCAGTGTTGGGCTGCTAACCACAAAGTCAGCAGGCAAAACCAGAACTTTCTACTCCAATAAAGAGTTACAGTCTCAGCAGCCCACAGGGGCAGTGCTATCCTGTCCTACAGAATCGCTGAGAGTCAGAATCCACGCCAGGGCAGTGAGTGCCGTATGGTGTGAGTCAGTTCAGAGTGAGAAGGAATAATGTTCCTTGGAGCCGGAGATTCTATAGACATTTTTTTTTTTAATTTTTTTTTAATTTTTTAAACATTTTATTAGGGGCTCATACAACTGTTATCCCAATC